ACTATATAGTTTCAAATTTAATTTAGTTTTTGTTCTTACGCTCTAAATCTTCTATTTTAATACGGTTTTTTTTTCATTTTCGTCATTTTCGCACAATTAATTATTTTTACCGATCGATATAAACAAAATATGTTTTTTTTGTTTAGCGCTTAGATTAAGTTAATGAGAACCTAAATAATATTTTCAATATTTCTTTTAATTTCCCATTTATACATTGTCTTTTACAACTTACTCGAAATCATAAACTTGAAAAACGATCCTATGTGATTTTCAGTTAAGTCTACTTGGGTAGGCATTTTTTGTAAATTCTAAGCTATTTTTAGGAAGTTGTATTTTATGTATTTATGATCAGCAAGAAGAAGACCTGTACAATACATTTATAAGTATCAAGAAATGTAGCAATAACAATACAGTTTTTATAATAATTTAAACCTACGGTGTGCGGCACAAATTTCAATAAAATCGATTCGTTTCCTCGATTTGCAACAAATGTAGTTTTTTTTTTTCTCAATTTAAATGCTTCAGTACCATTTTTTTGTTCGATTTTTCTTTTCACCCCTTATTCAACAGATAAATGACTTCCAACATTTTTTCAATCAAATTTAAAAACTTTTTGCTTTTCTCTCACTACCTCGCTATAACTCTTTCAATATTTCTTCGTAGTTTTTACAGTAAAAGGCCTTGGAGTAAGAAAACAAATTACATTTTTAAGTTAACATTTTTGCTTTCATCCCGAAGTTCGCTTGTAATTACAGGGAATGTAGTCCTTTTCTCATTACGTTCTTTGTCTATAATGAACTTTTTTTATATCAACAAGCGCGCAAGGTTTTTATGTGGAAGGATTTCATCTACAATGAATAATTTCGCTTTGGCTTGATTCATCAGCGCAAAACTATCTTCTTGTTCTTAAGTGTTCATGAAGTTAATAGCATACGAGCTGCGTTATAATACAAATATCGGAAGTTGTATATACATTTTAAATGCTTGGGAGAAGAAGAAGCATTTTCAGTGGAAAGATAAATTTGCTAAAATAAATAAGCGTTGACGGAGAGGAAGCAAAAGCAGCGTGCATTTTTCAAATATAAAGAGCTGAAATTCTGAATAATTGTTAATTCGAAAAACACAGTTTGATTTATTCATTAAAAAAATATTCACTTTAATTAGTATTACTAAAATATGCCTGCTGTTGTGCGAGTAAAAAGAAGAATCGACGAAGAACCTTTGTCTGCCTTTGTTTTAAACGGTAAAAGACGAAGGCTTGCAGATGATAATGCCTCATTTGCGGAACAATCGAACGGTAAAATTGTCACCAGCAAAGATGAGATATCAACTTTACTAAAATTTGCCGGTACTTTGAGAGAGCAGGTGAGCGAGAAAAAATGTTCTAATTTTCAACTTAATTCCTAGTCGTGTTTTAGGATGACACGGCCACAACTGAATTCGCCAGACTCACGAAAACCGAGGCCAAAGAAATGGTTTTGCAAAAGAGTGTGCGTAAGCCCTCAAACTGTACTGAAAAAGCACGACAAGAAATGCGTCGACATTTGCATGAACAACGATTTCGTGTAGTGAATTGCTTGAGAACTACTTTGGAGACCTCAGATACTCACGAAAATCCAGCTGCTAAGAACTTAACTATAGTGGATATAGAGAAACAGCAAAATGACAAGGCTGCCACTCTTAACAATAACGTTGCAACAAACAACTTAATGGCTTCAACTTCTTCAGCGGCAGGTGAAGTTGGCTCGCTACATTTTACCAGTACCGACACCGATACTGGTTACGTTTACGACTTGTATTTACCAGATAATGAGCAACAGGCTGATTATGTTGATCTTATGGATGACAATTACTTAAGGTTGGTGCTTCATGTCGATATGTTAATGCTTACAAATCGTTTTATCTAAGAAAGAGAATGGTAAAATATAAAAAAATCATAACTAATGTTAAAGAGATTGCTGCGTACTATAAACATAAATATTTTCCTTGCATTTAATGCATCCCTTTGATTATAATTCATACTTCCTCGAAGCTGATATTTCTTGCCTAAGGAAGTGTCTTTGAAGTTTTTATAGCTACATGACTTTCGCGCCGTCGCGAACTCAACTCAAACACTTTTTTCTAAAATTGTTTTTAACGTTTGTTTCGTTCATTGTAATCTTGTTAATCTTATTTGATGTCTATGTTAATGATGTTTAGTTTAGAAGCAAACAATTTAGAAATCTTCTTCATCTTTCTACAATTGTAATGAATGATTGAAGCTGCACACTAATTGAAATAGTGACTTAAAGTTTATTAATTTTTATTTATTTTTTTTAAATAGAGGAAAGTGAGTGAATGTAGGAGAAGTGCATTTTCTGCGTCAATTTATTGCCACATTTTGCACATACAAAGAAAGTGAACGGTCATAAGACAAAGGGTCAATTAAAATCGAATGGTTGGTAGAGAATTTATTTTTGGTAAATCAAAAAAAAAAGGAAGGATTATAATCGTAGATAGCTGAATAAGTTAAGAGTTTTAAAAAAGAAAAGTAGCCGTCTCCCTACAGGAGGCTCGTTTTCACTTACTGGTTTGTTTACTAGTAGGTTCTCTTAAGCTCGTGATAGATTTTTCATAATGAAATCAAAACTTTTTCCTAATTTTGAAAACTTTTCGAAACGCTGTGAAACTTTGTTACTGCACCGTAAATTAAAAGAAATATAGCAATGGTATCATCGATCTATAAAAGATAAATCGATACCTTTACTATAAATGTAGTAATCTTTAATAATTGAAGTCTAACTTCTTCTTTTTTTTAAATTTTATATTTCTACATAACCTGTATACGAATGCAAAAAAAGGCTACAATAATCCTTTTATAATGAGGTATGGTTTCCGCCAAACAACTTGCGTATATATCAAAATAAATAAAAAAAAAAATTTCTCTGCCAAATAATTAATTAAACGTACATTCGTAATGGAAGGAATAAAGAGAGAAGATAAAACATTCCCACACTATATAAAAAAATTAGAAAGCTCGTCAAATATTAGAGATCATTTTTTCCACATTTCATGTTTTCTTGATACATTTAGGATAATAATTATAACATAAATTTTACATTGTTTTACTTTCGTTTATCATTTCTCTTCTACGCTTAATTTTTCTTTTGCGCCTTTTAAAGTTTCATTTTTTAACAAGGGGGCGCAGGAAGATCATAAAATCATGTATCGTCTATAGTTTAGACCAATCAAAATATCGAAATGTATATAAAATTTCAAATTTTTAAAAATTTCCTTTTATCTGCAAGAGTATTAAGTTTATTAGTTTATGTGTTAGGATTAGAAAAATTACACCTTATTCTCTTTAAGGCAGAAAAATATACCAACTTGGCTAAGTATAGTGGGAATATGGGTTGCGTGTCACCAAATGCTCGGGAATAAGAATTAAATATTTCATTTACATTTTTTCTTTACTAATAAATAAATGGGGACTAAGCGATAACTGACTTTCTCCTGCCGTTCATCTTCAAGCATTCGCATTCGATAGAAATACTATATAGTTTCAAATTTAATTTAGTTTTTGTTCTTACGCTCTAAATCTTC